TGAATAGCCCACGAAGCCTAAAATATTTACTCTCTGGCTCTTTACAAGGAAAAGATTGCTATTCTCTGGTCTAGTACATAGTGGGTGCCAAATAATGGTAGCTGGAAAGTTCACTGATCTAAGAGCCTAATTTAACAGGTAGTCATGCCAGATACATGTTACCTAATGAGGATTCATACCTTAGGCCCTAAGGTTTAGGGCACATAAGAGTTTCTACAGCTAGCAAAAGGCCCTAAAGGAATCTAATTCGCTTGGGCTCCAGGCCAAGGAATTTGATTTAGCCTAAGGATTAGATAAAGAAGGAAGATGTGATTTACTAGTGCTCCCCCAATCCCATCAAGAATGAGGAGTTGAGGGCTGGCTGAGTGGCACATTGGTTGAGAGCTGGCTTGGGAGCGCAAGCTCTGAGCAGCAGGGCCACCGGTTCGGATCCCACATGGGCCAGTGACGTGGCGCCCTCTACAGCTAAGATGGTGAACAACAGCTCGACTTGGAGCTGGGCTGCTGTGAGTCGCCGGTGATGGCGTAGGCTGCAGTAGGGCTGGCTGGCAGCGGGCGTGAGCGGCCATAAGCCACCGTGAGCAGCCATCCAAAGGCTGACGACCAATCTGCCTCACCCGGGAAGAGCACAATGATAATACAAACTTGGGCCAGTGAAGCGACGTCCTCCACAACTAGACTGAAGAACAAAAGGACAGAAACGTGTCTGTTCCCCTTCTCTGATTCCCCAACGCTGTTCCCCTCCTCCAATTCCCCAATAAAATCTTTGGAAAAAAAAAAAAAGAAAGAACGAGGAGTTGATATACTCCCTGGATTCCTTCTAGCACTGTTCTCCCTGTACTTTGACTAGTCCTCATTTCTGCATCTTCCACCATCACATCTATCTTCCTGGTTGACCAGTCAAATGGGCAGCTTCCTAGAGTGGCCGATCCTCTGGGGCAGGAGAGGAGGACAAGGCAAGGTTGGTGTAGATCACTTCTTTTCTCTCCCCGGGCTTCCCTGCTCTATCTCAGCCTTTGACTCAACTTAGGTCCACACATTTTAGGGTACAGGGACCCCTGTGTTCTTCACTCAGAGGGCGGATTGTCTTTTGTGACCATTACTCTGAAGCCTTCCATAGCAGGTAGCAACTACAGGGGGCTTGGTATATGTTAGACCTAAGTCTTTAAGCCAGACCCTTTGACTTCTTAGAGGAAGTCCAAATCCCAACCATGGCTTCACAATGGCCTTAACTTTTTCAGAGTTCTTAGAGGTTGGGATCACCCCATGCTGCCCTGGACATTTGATCCTGTACTGTACTGGTCATCCTGGAACAGCCTCCATTTCAAGGGCTAAGGCTCTCTGTGCTGCTTTGGCTCACAGTTGGTACTCTGGTTGCCAGGATGGCTCCATGATCAGGGGCACCTGGGTTTGATATGAAAGGCTTGATCACACCTTCAGCCCCATGTTTATACTAGTGCTTCCTCTAGAGAAGGTCTTATGCCTCATGGACTAGCAAATTTATTAGTATAGTTTGTCAAGGTAGACAAGCAATTCCTCATGGGATACCATCAAAACCATACTTGAGGTTAATGATACTCTTTAACGGCACCATTCATGGGGAACTCATTAAATTATGCAGATTAACATTTGATTAAAATAAAGATGGAAAGACAAAAATAAAACAAAATACCCTATTAAAGCTAGAGACCACTTTTTGCTTATGTATGTGTAAAAATTCATAACAATCATTAATTTTTAAAAAACTGGTAACAGTTAATTGTTTTATCTTTCAATTGGACTAAGTATAAACAACGAACTCTAGCAAAAACAATTGCATTCAGTTAAGTCATTCTAAAGCTCAGTTTCTTTCTGGTAATTTTTTCAGGTAATATATCACTATAATAAATGTTCATGAAGCTAAAGCATATCCTTAGATTGATTCTCAGAGTCTAATCAATCAAACAAACTATGAGAACATCCTCAATAGTATAGAAGTTACCGACACCTTACATGAATCACAGAGTCTTCATCTAGGTTTCAATCATTTATTGTTCATATCAGTGGAACCCAACACATCTTGGCAATAATATTTATGGAATAACAAAAGCAATTTGTAAAAGTAAATTATTAAGACACCCAGAAGGGCCTAACTCTGAACTAGGAACTCTGAGAATGTGTGCTAAAGAGGGGAAAAACCATGTGAAGTAAAAGAGATAGTCTGGGCCCCACAAGATCATGAGTTTTAGTTGGGGCAATTATACATGAAGCAGTAAGTGGGCCTCTGTTACCTTTGTATATGGCCTTTACATCAGACCCCAAAAAGGCATTGACTTAGATTAACACAGGGACTCACATCTTAAACAGGTCTTTCATTCTCTTTGCTTTTTACATGATTGTCATCATTTGACATTGTACACAAGGTCACCATGGACAAGGATTTTTCAAGATGGCAGCAATTGGGACTTTTAACCACATCAGCATTCTACTGAATATCCAGAAAGATTATCAGCTTTTACCAAATAAGGCTAGTTAAGGAAAGAAAAACGATGCATTTAAGAAAACAGAAAAAGACACAAAACATCTGGTTTAGGTTAGAGCAGAAGGGGCCACTCAGAGGTTAATTTTGTGGAAAAGTCATTAAAGGAAAACTTGGATCATGCTTCAGATTTCTGAAATGGAAACTGAACCCCTGAACTCCTCAACACCCAGAAGTTTAATCATTTTTCATTTCAGACCAAATGCAAGTGTCCTTTTATCCTACTGTCCAAATTATAAATGAAAAGGCATCATTGATTTGAGTAATATCAGAAGGAGCAAAACTTTTATATTTAAAACTTTCTTATTCTAAAATGTATAAACTGTAGGACAAATCTGTTACTGACAAAGATGCATCTTCTGAATTAAAAACCTTACAGCCTTAGAAGTCAGCACATGTATGACACGGGAGATTGGCCATTCCTCTTTCTTTCTCTCCTAACCCCTAACTCTTTCTTTCTCTCCTAACCCCTAACTCTTTCTTTCTTCTCTGCCTCCTCACCCTAAAACTCAAGTGCATCGCCCCTCCAAAAAAACACCTCAAAACACTATTCAGTGACATCTTCTTTCAGGTTAAATTATAAATGATGTAGTACCAATGATCAGAACTATTTTGCTAAGATACTTTTCTTTCAAGTGTCTGTTGATTCACATTAGAATTTCACCACTCCAAAGCCATTAGGGAATAAACCTTTTTTTTTAAGTTGAATTTTTAGTCATTTAGACATGACATTGAAAAAAAATAACTTCAGATAGAAACCTGCCCCTTTCCTGTGGGCTTAGGTTATGTTATGCACAATTTCACTTATTCATCAACTTGGGACATCAGCATGTTTATTAGTTATTATCCTGAGCTATAAAGTATGATGATGTCTTTAGGGCTTGCTGGCCCCTACAGTAAGTGGTTCTAGACTAATTTTTAAGCTTCTGTACCTATTTTCATGGTTATTTTTTCATTTCCATCATTGATTTTAAAATGCCCATTTTCTTGTATTGCTATCCAGAAGTGCTTTCCTGTCGTATAGCTTTAATCTCTTATAGACCTGATAGCCACAAAGCCTAATTGTTAGTGTTGTGTATAAAGCAAGAATAAGTAGGGAGATTGGGTGAGGATCCGTGCTAAGGTTAAAGCACTAATCTTTAGTGTGTGGAGTTAGGACATCTATTTTAAAATTTGAAATAGCAGAAGCCTTTTTAGGCTTACTCTTTGATTTTCAGCTGAGTTCACCTTAGCATATTTTGACATCAAATTGGGTTATGGATAGGAAAGGTGAAGACGTATAAATAAGTGTAGGCCTAGGAATAAACATATTCTTTAAACATGAAGAAATGATGAAAGCATCCACTAGGTAGAAATGATACCAGCCCTGGGATTGTAGGGAGTAATTTAAGACTTGCAGAAAATATTCTACCCTAAATTCCCTTCTAATTTTTTAAAATTGGAATCAGAAGGAGAAATAAATGTCAGTACTGTAAAATACAAGTTTTTTAAAAAATAGGGAGGATTAAATAATTCACTATTCATTTTTATTGAATCGAGTGATAAGTCTTCTGGTACTGGTAACATAACGATTTCTAGTTAAAGAGCTTATATTAGTAAGAGCATATAAATATAATATGATATCATATAATATATTCTATCACATATTTAGATATATGCTTATTATTAGAATATGGGTGAAGTTTTTCAAAATTTTTGAAGGATTTGTTTTAAAGTGCCTAATCATTATGGCTTTATTGTGATTGTTTTATTCTAAATCAGATAAATGTAAGAGATGCTTCAAAAGAAATACATAACGTTCAATTATCTGTTAGTCAGTAACAAACCACCTTAAGCTCTAGTAGCTTAAAGAAATTATTATTTCTCACAAGTGTGGTGGAAGGTTCTTCTGGTTTCGCTGGCATTCCTGGGTCAGAGGACATAAGCGGCAGTGGGGGTTTGGGGGCCTGTTGTGAAAATGCTCTCCGGAAGGATTACTGCACAATTTTAAGTCTCCCCAGTGATATCTAAAAGTGCATCTTTCTCTGCATCCACACTAACACTGGATATTATAATTACTTTTTGTTTTCAGTTTCAGGGAAAAAAATCTAATCTTCATTCTAAAAAACTTTTAAAGACTTTAACACAGTAGGACCGACCCTTTTGGAGAGACATTTGCCCGAGCAGATGTCCCTTGGATGTTTTTTTTTAAAATATAAATACAATCTGGGGGCAGTATTTATTAACTAAAACTATGTCTTATAGTTTACAAAGAAGCTAATTAACAACAAAAGTATAATTGACCTTAAAATCCTCAGTGAGACTGAGGCTTCACATCTTCTTCCGAGTTCTGAAGTGTTCTCCAGGCAGGGAGGCAGTGGCTGCGGCTCACAGGTTCACAGGTGCGCCACCTGCAGACTGCAGGAGTCGGAGACCAAAGGTTCTACAGAGCAGAAGATTCTGGTCTCCTGTGGAAGTTCCATTCCCCAACCCCCACTGTCCTTGTATTCCTCACCCCCCAATTCTATCGCCAAGGCAAGTCCTCAGGTTTATCGTCGGGAGAACCTGTTCTTGAAATCTTTAATCGTTTTAGCCATCATTGGGGCCATTTTCTTCACAGTTGGTTTCCTAGGATCACAGGAAACAGTGCTGCTGACCACGGATGCCAAGTGGGCACTGCTGGTGCTCGGGCCGTCATAGGCCGGCTCCTTGGGGCTGGTGTTAAAGCTATTGCTGCTGCCACTGCTGAAGGGAGCATAGCTGCTTCCTGTGGTGTATGGGGCTGGCTTAATCTTGATTTTCTCGGGCACAGCTGTTCCTCCTGTTCCAAACTTCTCCTGCCTTCTTCTAATATCATGAGGTGACTTGGCCACCGAGTTCACAAAGGCCATCTTTGTTTGTCGGTCTTTGGGCTTATTGGCATGTGCAGATCTGATATTCTTTGTCAGAAGGCGTAGCCGCTGCTCTCGGGCATCCTGAAGCCGCAGGTACATCTCCCGCCACGACTCATACTCTTCTGGCCTTTCTTCTTTAAAGTCTCGGTGACAGTGAATTTTCCATAATTGATCTGTATATTCAATTAATACATGATTGTATTCCTCTATACGATACAGCTGATCAGGCGTACACCTCTCTAAGACAGGTTCAAGAACGGAATATGGAACGCCTCCCACTTCAAAGATTGAGTCGATGTTGTTTTTAAGTACCCGGATGCACTGCTGACGCAAGGTCATCATTTTGGGGAGATAGGCACGCTTGGAACCAGAATACACCTGCATCTTAGAATTCATTCTCCGTCCAGTGAATCCAGCTTCCTCCTCTTCCTGGGGTGAAGAGTGTGCTTTTCGCTTTGGTTGGAAGGGTATCAAGTCGAGCGAAGGAAGTAGCCGGTAATTGCCCTGTATCATAGGTAACGGGAGGTCTGGCAGCACTGGCAACGCATCGGCAAAGACCTTTCTTGGCCTGACTGAATCAGCTCTGGCCGGCTGAAGCTTCTCTGACTTGTTTTCGTTCACCTTAGGTGATTTCTGAACCGAGTCCAAGTTTTTATTAGTGCCTTTCAAATCGTTTTTTTTAAGTCCTTTTACGCCAGTGGTCGTGGCTGAGGTTTTCACAATCCTTTTCTTTTTCTTGCGGGGCTGGTCATAGCTGAGGTATGACTCAAAAGACATGGTGGGCTGCTCGAATTCATCGTCCATATCAGCCTCCTCAACTTTGGGGAAGGAGCCCACTGACTTCCTATCTGAATGGGGAGTTTTTCCTTTCCCTTCTTGAGTCTTTAGGTTGTTGGAAACCTTCTCTTTCGCCTTGGACAGCAGGTCTCCTGCTCCCTTTCCTATGTCTAAGCTGTCTAGACTTTGCTTGTTTTTGT